GTGTGGGATTTAAGAGAGGTACAAAATGAGAGCGAGAAAGGAAACTGGAGAAAAAAGAAAAATTACTGAAGTACCCACAATATGCGATCAATAGAGGGGACAAGTGAGGTGTCCCCTTCCTATTATGACCAACTCATTATCTAATAAGAGGGGATACATTCCCCTTCTATTAGATAATGAGTTGGTCATCATATGGCCAACTTATTATCCAATAAGAGGGGATACCTCACTTGTCTCTTCTATTTGTCCCATATTCTGGGTCCCGTAGCAAAGCTCGAGAAAAAAATACTTGTGGAGTATGAGAGGTTTCAATTCAATTAAATTGTGACACGTGGTACTCATTATTATTAATTAACTATATCATTTTAATGCCATTAAATTTTTTTAATAAGTAACAAATCTCTTAATTATGGGTAATTTTTAAAATATCTCTAAAATTTTCAGATTGCAATTTACCCCTCGCAAGTTGTAAAAAACCCCTACCAGTTTCATACGTTGCAGTTACATCCCAAAATTGCCACCAGGACCCTAGAAAGTTTGAAAATTTGCAGTTTACAGCTAAAAAGTTGCAAAATCCCGCCTAAAAGTTTCAGAAATTTGTAGCTAATCCCTCCCCCACAAAAAATTGCAGAAAACCACGATAAAAGTTTCATATTTGGTAATGTACCCCCAAAAATTGCAGAATACGCCCCAAAGTTCAGATTTAACTGTTTACGAAGGAATGCTAGGTTCCCCTTAGGCCTTAGCCGAAGGCCAAGAACAATTACATTTTAACTAAGGTCATTTTTTCGATTTTCCATTAGAAGACGGAAAACAACGATAGTGAGGAAGGGGGAAAAATATGATAGCAAAAAAATTTTCATAAAATAAGAAATCTCCGGGGCGCATCCAAGAATTTTTTGGAAAACTGGGATATTTTTGGTCGTGCTTGCAACTATTTCCATGCCAGGTAAATTTCGTAAAAGACCCTAAAGTTTTGGGCCTAAGTTGCGTAAAAACACCTAAACCATGAAAATTAGAGAAAACCCCTAAATCATGGGGTTTTCATAACACACTTCTCTTGCCTATGTATCCCAAAAATACCTATTTCTGGTTTACCCCTATACTTGCATATTTGCTATTTTTTCTCTAATTCTTTCACATTGAATTCTCGGTTGAGCTTACAATTGTTTCTGTGTCGTGTAAATTTCATGAAACACCCTAAAATTTGGGTTTAAGTTGCTTAAAAACCCCTAAATCCAGAAAATTAGAGAAAACCAGTAAATTACGGGGTTTTCATTACGCACTTCTCTTGCCTATGTACCCCAAAAATATCTAGTTTCAGGTTTACCCCTAGATCTGCATGTTTGCTATTTTTTTCTCTATTTCTTTCACATTGAATTGTTTTATTACCCTTCTTACTTGACGCAATTAAAATCGATAGGGTTAAATTAGTTAATATGGAAATTTTGAGTGGTCTACAACTAGAATATTTAAGATATAAAAGGAAAATATTGTGGTAACTGTTGGGACAAACCCGGGGCCTAATAGAGCAGGGTCGCAGCAATAGTAGAGCAAAAGTAGAGATAAAATGTTGGACACACAGATTTACGTGGTTCGGCACTTGATTGCCTACGTCCACGGGCAAGGATAGAAGAATTCACTATGAGGAAAAAACTCTGGAGTTACAAACTCTCTCTTTACAAGGAGAAACTCTCTCTATTTTTTTTCTCTCTCACTCTTCTTATATAAGAAGTTGTTTCTGGGATGAAATTTCCTTAAGGATTTGGAGCCCTATTTATAGTTTTTAGAAAAACACTATGCACAATAAAATATTAATATTTTACTGTAGCTGTGGGGTCCGCTCTTTTGTTTTCTTCTCAAATTTTCAACATATGTGGCTGTGCACTTTCGGTGGGTTTGGAATATTAGGCACCTGACAATCTCCCACTTGAAGATTTGATTGAGCATCAATCATATCTTCACACCATTCTTTCTATCTTGCCATCTTCATGTTGCTTACGTCTCCATCAGACCACAAGAGGATCGACACCAAATAAATTTGTCAGTACTGACTGCTTTGGTCAAAAAATCTGCTAGGTTGTCTTTGGTGTGAATTTTCTGCATATCCACTGTTCCTTCTTCCACTTTCTCACGAACGAAGTGATACTGAACTCGAATGTGCTTGGTCTTTGAATGAAAGGCTGGATTTCTTGCCAAATGCAAAGCACTCTGACTGTCACAAAATAAAGATATCTTCTTTTGTTCATAGCCGAGTTCCTCCAGCACCATCTTCAACCACATCGCTTCTTTACTAGCTTGTGTAGCTGCTACATACTCTGCTTCTGTTGTTGAAGTAGCCACAACTGACTGCAGTTTTGAAACCCAGCTTACAGCTCCGCCAGCAAGTGCAAACACATAACCTGTGGTGGATTTGCTATTATCACGATCACCTGCATAATCAGAATCAACATATCCACTGACAATAAAATCAGATCCCCCATAACATAATGCAACATTTGAGGTTCCTTGAATGTATCTTAGAACCCTCTTTACAGCATTCCAATGCTCTTTACCAGGATTCGCCATGTATCGACTAACCACTCCCACTGCTTGTGCAATGTCTGGTCTTGTACAAATCATCGCGAACATTAAGCTTCCCACTGCTGATGCATACGGCACTCGAGACATCTCCATCCTCTCTTCTTCACTGCTAGGACTCATACTGGAGGATAACTTGAAATTAACAGGAAGTGGGGTAGAAATTGACTTACAATCTTGCATGTTAAAGCGTCGCAAGATTTTCTTCAAATAGTTCTTCTAAGAAAGCCAAATCTTCCTATTAATTCTGTCTCGGTAAATTTGCATCCCTAGAATCTTGTTTGCAGATCCTAAATCCTTCATTTCAAATTCCCTAGCCAACTGAGCCTTTAATTCTTGGATACGATCTTTGTTGGGGCCAGCAACCAACATGTCGTCAACATACAACAATAAGATAACAAAGTTATTTTCACCAAACCTCTTGAAATATGCACAAGGGTCTGAATTAAGTCTGTTGTATCCAAGGCTCATGATGAATGAATCAAATCTCTTATACCAACACCTCGGCGCCTGCTTTAGACCGTACAGAGATTTGTTCAATCTGCAAACCAAGTTCTCTTTTCCTTTTTCTTCAAAACCTTCTGGTTGGAGCATGTAAATTTCTTCTTCAAGATCTCCATGAAGAAATGCTGTTTTCACATCTAGCTGCTCTAGATGTAAGTCAAATATAGCGCTCATAGCCAGGACTATTCGGACTGTTGTTAGTCGCACTACAGGAGAAAATATTTCATTAAAATCAATACCTTCTTTCTGAGCATATCCTTTTACCACCAATCTAGCACGATACCGCTCCACTTGATCATCGCCATTTCGCTTGATCTTGTAGACCCATTTGTTTCCAATGGTCTTTCTTCCTTGTGGCAGTGACACAAGTTCCCAAGTCTTGTTCTTATGGAGAGCTTCAATTTCTTCCTGCATTGCTGCCATCCACAAAGATGCATCTGTGCCATTTATAGCTTCATGAAAAGTTGATGGCTCTCCATCTTCTGTTAGAAGACAGTATGCAACATTACTCTCCGTAATATACTCCGAGTGCCAAGTCGGTGGTCTTCTCTCACGAGTTGACCTTCGAACTTCTGGAGCCTCGGCCTCGACTGGTTCTTGTACATCATGCTCCGGTGTCGCTTCAGAAGAATTCAGATTATCTTCTACCTGAACAGCTACAGTCTCTGAGTCCTTCCTCGAACTGCTTTCTTTCTCTTCACTTTGTAGTTGGTTCTCTACAAAGATAACATCTCTGCTGATGATAACCTTGCGGGTAGTGGGATCCCACAGGCGATACCCCTTTACTCCATCAGCATACCCCAAGAATATGCATTTTCTGGATTTTGAATCCAGCTTTGTAATTTCTTGGGCATTGTACATTACGTACACTGGACTTCCAAATATATGGAGGTTAATCAGCTGGCTTGCCAGTCCACATCTCCATCGGCGTCTTCAATTGTATTGCAGTTGATGGAGATCGATTCACCACATAACAGGCGGTTTTTACTGCTTCCGCCCAAAAGACTTTTTTCAGATTTGCAGTAGCCAACATAGCTCTTGTTCTTTCCAACAGAGTTCTGTTCATCCGCTCCGCCACTCCATTTTGTTGAGGAGTATAAGCCGTACTGAATTGTCTTTTGATGCCTTCATGCTTGCAGAATGCTAGGAATTCACCGTCTGTGTATTCTCCTCCATTATCTGACCTTAAGCACTTGATCTTCTTCTCAGATTCAAGCTCGACCCGCGCTTTGTAGGCTTTAAAGACTGAGAACACATCCGCCTTCTTCTTGATAGGATACACCCAACATCTCCTGGAGTAATCATCAATAAAGGACACAAAGTATTTTGCTCCTCCTAAGGATGTAACTGGTGCTTGCCATACATCAGAATGAACCAGTTCCAGAATAGCCTTGCTTCTAGAACTCGATGTGCTGAACTTCAGTCGATGCTGCTTGCTTGTAACACAATGCTCGCAAAATGGAAGAGCTATCGAATTAAGTCCAGGAAGCAGTTTCTGATCGGAGAGAACCTTCAAGCCTCGTTCTGACATGTGGCCTAGCTTGCGATGCCACATCATGGTTTGTTCTTCTCCACGGCTGGTTGATGCCACACATGAATCAGCTTCCTGCAGAGTCTCTCCCTTGAGCATGTACAGATTTGCAGCTATCTTTTCTCCTTTTATCACCACAAGCGCCCCTCTAACAATCTTCATGACTCCATTTTCTATATGAGTCTTGCACCCGAGCTCATCTAATTGTCCCAAAGACAATAGATTCTTCTTCAAGCCCTTCACATGTCGCACATCTTGAATGGTGCGTATTATACCATCAAACATTTTGATTTTGATAGTACCAATACCACAAATCTCTAAGGCATGATCATTCCCCATGAATACAGATCCTCCTGAGATAGGTTCATATTTGTGAAACCAATCTCTCCGAGAGGTCATGTGCCAAGAGGCTGCTGAATCTAGAAGCCAGACATCAGCAAACTTCTTTCTGCCTTCATCAACAGTGGTTGCTCCACTGAATAGAATTTCACCATCCTCTGACGTGCTGACAACACATCCTTGGGATGTTGATGGCTCTGAAGACTTTTTATCTCCACTCTTCTTGTTGTGCCAACACTCCGATTTGACGTGCCCTCTTTTGCCACAGTTGTAGCATTTGATATTCTTCTTACTTCGTGATTTCGATCTACCATGGGCATGACTCCCACTGGAGCCACGTTCCGTTGATCTTCCTCTCATCACCGACAAGGCCTCCGCTTGCTGCGAACTTGTCTGCCTGTCTTCCTTGTTCTTGCGCCGATTTTCTTCCTCCAGAACAGCGGCTGCAACATCATCGAAGACTAGATTGCCGTAAGGACGTTGTTCGTCAGGTTGATGATGAGTTGATCATACGAGTCAGGTAGACTCTGAAGTAGAAGTTCTGCACGTTCATTCGCACCAACTGTATATCCCAACGTTGTGAGTTGGGAGAACAGTGTGTTTAGGGTGTTGATGTGGTCGGTCATCGATGTAGATTCCGCCATCCTCAGAGTGTAAAGTCTCCTTTTTAAGAAGATTTTATTGTGCATGGATTTCGCCTCATATAGCTTTGTTAGAGTATCCCAGATCTCCTTTGCTGTCTTCTTCTCCTCTATGCTTGACAGCACCCCGTCTGCTAATGCCAGATGGAGATTTGCAATAGCATTTTCGTCCATCTCGTTCCACTTCTTATCATCTGTGATGTCGTCCGGCCTTGCACCAATGGCCGCCAGGCAATTATCTTTTCTCAAGATAGCCTTTATCTTCAACTTCCACAGTGAGAAATTACTCCCGTCGAATTTCTCGATCTTGAACTTCGCCGCCATTGCTTCTACCACGAATAGTAACTTCTTACTATTTTACGTAAACAGTAACTGTATTTATGAACAGTAACCGTATCTGTGAATAGTACCGTACTTGTGAATAGTACCGTATTTTTGAACAGTACCGTACTCGTGAACAGTACCCGTCACCGCCAAAGGGTAAGTGATAACCTAACTTATTTTCTGATGTGGAGGATCCACCTTTGGTGGCAGCCACAGAGCATACGATAAGTAGATATATACAAGTACCCTAAGTTGGCTCTGATACCACTTGTTGGGACAAACCCGGGGCCTAATAGAGCAGGGTCGCAGCAATAGTAGAGCAAAAGTAGAGATAAAATGTTGGACACACAGATTTACGTGGTTCGGCACTTGATTGCCTACGTCCACGGGCAAGGATAGAAGAATTCACTATGAGGAAAAAACTCTGGAGTTACAAACTCTCTCTTTACAAGGAGAAACTCTCTCTATTTTTTTTCTCTCTCACTCTTCTTATATAAGAAGTTGTTTCTGGGATGAAATTTCCTTAAGGATTTGGAGCCCTATTTATAGTTTTTAGAAAAACACTATGCATAATAAAATATTAATATTTTACTGTAGCTGTGGGGTCCGCTCTTTTGTTTTCTTCTCAAATTTTCAACATATGTGGCTGTGCACTTTCGGTGGGTTTGGAATATTAGGCACCTGACAGTAACTAGACTATACCCTCCAATCTACTCCCGAGATACTACACCTAAAGATTATGGACTAGTCATTCAGGAGCCATCAATTTTGATGTCAATTCAAAATGTAAAGACCCATACTTTTGTGCGTAGTAATATAGAAATAACTTTGGAGGGTATAGTTTAGTTAGAATTATCCAAGCAAAAAAGCTTACTCTTCTAGCAGAGTTTGGGGTGTTCTTGCTGTTCATGGTGGCTTCAACTTTAATGGTGTTAAATAAGAGGAGTATTTCCTTATTCTATTATAAATCTACCAAATACTTTAATACCCATGTCCCGCAAACACTTCACCTTGCTAACTATCTAAATATAAATACAGGATTTATCACGCATAATGCATGACTTCTGGAACTTAGTACTATAAATTAACGAGAGTGCACTCAACCATAACATGCATATTTTGTGACAAAAACAATAAATCTATACCTCATTTATATATATCACACAACGCACGCATACAACAACTTAGTAGTGAGAGAGAGAGAGAGAGAGAGTATGGCAGATCTTAACAAGCAGTCATTCTCGATATTTTCTCTCATCCTAGTGATGATTAGTATTGGTGCTTTCGCTCGAGCGGAGCAATGTGAGGATCAAATTGAGGACCTGGTGAGCAAATGCGGTCAGTATGTGCAATGGATTGCATCAAGGCCGGAGGATGCTTCAAGAGATTGTTGTGCTGTGGTGAAGAGAGCGGATGTGAAGTGCGTATGTGATCATGTCACGGAGGAAGTTGAGATGGCTATTGATATGGATAAAGCGGTGGCTGTTGCTGCTAAGTGTGGGAGGCCAATTCCTCCGGGAACACAATGTGGAGGTAATAAATAGTTGCGTTTCTTGGATTCTCTCCCTTGCTACCTTAAGCAACTTGATCTTTGCTTCTCTATATCAAGCATCGACCCGCGCTTTGGTAGGCTTTTAAGACGTGAGAAGTACACATCCGCCTTCTTCTTGATAGGTAACACCACATGCTCCTGGGAGTACATCATCAATAAAGGACACAAAGTATTTTGTGCCGCTCCTTAAGGATGTAAACTTGGTGCTTGCCATACATCCTAGAATGAACAGTTCCAGGAATAGCCTTGCTTCCTAGAGACTCGATGTGCTATAACTTCAGTCGATGCTGCTTCTTGTAACACAATGCTTCGGCAAAATGAAAAGAGCTACGAAATTGAAGGTCCAGCTCTAGGAAGCTTTCTGATTCGGAGAGAACCCTTCAAGCCTCGTTCGACAGTCACGGTGGCCTAGCTTGCGATGCCACACAATGGTTTGTCTTCTCCGACGGCCTGGTTGTGCCAACACATGAATCAGCTTCCTGCAGAGTCTCTCGCCTTGAGCATGTATGATGATTTGCAGCTATCTTTTCCTCCTTTTATCACCGACAAGCGGCCCTCTAACACATCTTCATTGACTCCATTTTCTATATGCAGCTCTTGCAGCCCGAGCTGCATTCTAATTTGCTTCCCAAAGACAATAGATTCTTACTTCAAGGCCTTCACATTGTCGCAGCATCTTAGATGGGTGGCGTATTATACCAATCAAACATTTAATTTTGATAGTACGCAATAACCACAAAATCTCTTAAGGGCATGATCACTTCCCCTGAATAGGCAGATCCTCCTGCAGATAGGGTTCTATATTTGTGAATCCTATTTATAGTTTTTAGAAAAATACTATGCACAATAAAATATTAATATTTTACTGTAGCTGTGGGGTCCGCTCTTTTGTTTTCTTCTCAAATTTTCAACATATGTGGCTGTGCACTTTCGGTGGGTTTGGAATATTAGGCACCTGACAATCTCCCACTTGAAGATTTGATTGAGCATCAATCATATCTTCACACCATTCTTTCTATCTTGCCATCTTCATGTTGCTTACGTCTCCATCAGACCACAAGAGGATCGACACCAAATAAATTTGTCAGTACTGACTGCTTTGGTCAAAAAATCTGCTAGGTTGTCTTTGGTGTGAATTTTCTGCATATCCACTGTTCCTTCTTCCACTTTCTCACGAACGAAGTGATACTGAACTCGAATGTGCTTGGTCTTTGAATGAAAGGCTGGATTTCTTGCCAAATGCAAAGCACTCTGACTGTCACAAAATAGAGAAATCTTCTTTTGTTCATAGCCGAGTTCCTCCAGCACCATCTTCAACCACATCGCTTCTTTACTAGCTTGTGTAGCTGCTACATACTCTGCTTCTGTTGTTGAAGTAGCCACAACTGACTGCAGTTTTGAAACCCAGCTTACAGCTCCGCCAGCAAGTGCAAACACATAACCTGTGGTGGATTTGCTATTATCACGATCACCTGCATAATCAGAATCAACATATCCACTGACAATAAAATCAGATCCCCCATAACATAATGCAACATTTGAGGTTCCTTGAATGTATCTTAGAACCCTCTTTACAGCATTCCAATGCTCTTTACCAGGATTCGCCATGTATCGACTAACCACTCCCACTGCTTGTGCAATGTCTGGTCTTGTACAAATCATCGCGAACATTAAGCTTCCCACTGCTGATGCATACGGTACTCGAGACATCTCCATCCTCTCTTCTTCACTGCTAGGACTCATACTGGAGGATAACTTGAAATTAACAGGAAGTGGGGTAGAAATTGACTTACAATCTTGCATGTTAAAGCGTCGCAAGATTTTCTTCAAATAGTTCTTCTGAGAAAGCTAAATCTTCCTATTAATTCTGTCTCGGTAAATTTGCATCCCTAGAATCTTGTTTGCAGATCCTAAATCCTTCATTTCAAATTCCCTAGCCAACTGAGCCTTTAATTCTTGGATACGATCTTTGTTGGGGCCTGCAACCAACATGTCGTCAACATACAACAATAAGATAACAAAGTTATTTTCACCAAACCTCTTGAAATATGCACAAGGGTCTGAATTAAGTCTGTTGTATCCAAGGCTCATGATGAATGAATCAAATCTCTTGTACCAACACCTCGGCGCCTGCTTTAGACCGTACAGAGATTTGTTCAATCTGCAAACCAAGTTCTCTTTTCCTTTTTCTTCAAAACCTTCTGGTTGGAGCATGTAAATTTCTTCTTCAAGATCTCCATGAAGAAATGCTGTTTTCACATCTAGCTGCTCTATATGTAAGTCAAATATAGCGCTCATAGCCAGGACAATTCGGACTGTTGTTAGTCGAACTACAGGAGAAAATATTTTATTAAAATCAATACCTTCTTTCTGAGCATATCCTTTTACCACCAATCTAGCACGATACCGCTCCACTTGATCATCGCCATTTCGCTTGATCTTGTAGACCCATTTGTTTCCAATGGTCTTTCTTCCTTGTGGCAGTGACACAAGTTCCCAAGTCTTGTTCTTATGGAGAGCTTCAATTTCTTCCTGCATTGCTGCCATCCACAAAGATGCATCTGTGCCATTTATAGCTTCATGAAAAGTTGATGGCTCTCCATCTTCTGTTAGAAGACAGTATGCAACATTACTCTCCGTAATATACTCCGAGTGCCAAGTCGGTGGTCTTCTCTCACGAGTTGACCTTCGAACTTCTGGAGCCTCGGCCTCGACTGGTTCTTGTACATCATGCTCCGGTGTCGCTTCAGAAGAATTCGGATTATCTTCTACCTGAACAGCTACAGTCTCTGAGTCCTTCCTCGAACTGCTTTCTTTTTCACCACTTTGTAGTTGATTTTCTACAAAGATAACATCTATGCTGATGATAACCTTATAGGTAGTGGGATCCCACAAGTGATACCCCTTTACTCCATCAGCATACCCCAAGAATATGCATTTTCTGGATTTTGAATCCAGCTTTGTAATTTCTTGGGCATTGTACATTACGTACACTGGACATCCAAATATATGGAGGTTAGAATAATCAGCTGGCTTGCCAGTCCACATCTCCATCGGCGTCTTTAATTGTATTGCAGTTGATGGAGATCGATTCACCACATAACAGGCGGTTTTTACTGCTTCCGCCCAAAAGACTTTTTCCAGATTTGCAGTAGCCAACATAGCTCTTGTTCTTTCCAACAGAGTTCTGTTCATCCGCTCCGCCACTCCATTTTGTTGAGGAGTATAAGCCGTACTGAATTGTCTTTTGATGCCTTCATGCTTGCAGAATGCTAGGAATTCACCGTCTGTGTATTCTCCTCCATTATCTGTTCTCAAGCACTTGATCTTCTTCTCAGATTCAAGCTCGACCCGCGCTTTGTAGGCTTTAAAGACTGAGAACACATCCGCCTTCTTCTTGATAGGATACACCCAACATCTCCTGGAGTAATCATCAATAAAGGACACAAAGTACTTTGCTCCTCCTAAGGATGTAACTGGTGCTTGCCATACATCAGAATGAACCAGTTCCAGAATAGCCTTGCTTCTAGAACTCGATGTGTTGAACTTCAGTCGATGTTGCTTGCTTGTAACACAATGCTCGCAGAATGGAAGAGCTACCGAATTAAGTCCAGGAAGCAGTTTCTGATCGGAGAGAACCTTCAAGCCTCGTTCTGACATGTGGCCTAGCTTGCGATGCCACATCATGGTTTGTTCTTCTCCACGGCTGGTTGATGCCACACATGAATCAGCTTCCTGCAGAGTCTCTCCCTTGAGCATGTACAGATTTGCAGCTATCTTTTCTCCTTTTATCACCACAAGCGCCCCTCTAACAATCTTCATGACTCCATTTTCTATATGAGTCTTGCACCCGAGCTCATCTAATTGTCCCAAAGACAATAGATTCTTCTTCAAGCCCTTCACATGTCGCACATCTTGAATGGTGCGTATTATACCATCAAACATTTTGATTTTGATAGTACCAATACCACAAATCTCTAAGGCATGATCATTCCCCATGAATACAGATCCTCCTGAGATAGGTTCATATTTGTGAAACCAATCTCTCCGAGAGGTCATGTGCCAAGAGGCTGCTGAATCTAGAAGCCAGACATCAGCAAACTTCTTTCTGCCTTCATCAACAGTGGTTGCTCCACTGAATAGAATTTCACCATCCTCTGACGTGCTGACAATGCATCCTTGAGATGTTGATGGCTCTGAAGACTTTTTATCTCCACTCTTCTTGTTGTGCCAACACTCCGATTTGACGTGCCCTCTTTTGCCACAGTTGTAGCATTTGATATTCTTCTTACTTCGTGATTTCGATCTACCATGGGCATGACTCCCACTGGAGCCACGTTCTGTTGATCTTCCTCTCGTCACCGACAAGGCCTCCGCTTGCTGCGAACTTGTCTGCCTGTCTTCCTTGTTCTTGCGCCGATTTTCTTCCTCCAGAACAGCGGCTGCAACATCGTCGAAGACTAGATTGTCCGTGAGGACGTTGTTCGTCAGGTTGATGATGAGTTGATCATACGAGTCAGGTAGACTCTGAAGTAGAAGTTCTGCACGTTCATTCGCACCAACTGTATATCCCAACGTTGTGAGTTGGGAGAACAGTGTGTTTAGGGTGTTGATGTGGTCGGTCATCGATGTAGATTCCGCCATCCTCAGAGTGTAAAGTCTCCTTTTTAAGAAGATTTTATTGTGCATGGATTTCGCCTCATATAGCTTTGTTAGAGTATCCCAGATCTCCTTTGCTGTCTTCTTCTCCTCTATGCTTGACAGCACCCCGTCTGCTAATGCCAGATGGAGATTTGCAATAGCATTTTCGTCCATCTCGTTCCACTTCTTATCATCTGTGATGTCGTCCGGCCTTGCACCGATGGCCGCTAGGCAATTATCTTTTCTCAAGATAGCCTTTATCTTCAACTTCCACAGTGAGAAATTACTCCCGTCGAATTTCTCGATCTTGAACTTCGCCGCCATTGCTTCTACCACGAACAGTAACTTCTTACTATTTCACGTAAATAGTACTGTATTTATGAACAGTAACCGTATTCATGAATAGTGTCGCACTTGTGAACAGTACCGTACTCGTGAATAGTACCCGTTACCTCCAAAGGGTAAGTGATAACCTAACTTATTTTCTGATGTGGAGGATCCACCTTTGGTGGCAGCCACAGAGCATACGATAAGTAGATATATACAAGTACCCTAAGTTGGCTCTGATACCACTTGTTGGGACAAACCCGGGGCCTAATAGAGCAGGGTCGCAGCAATAGTAGAGCAAAAGTAGAGATAAAATGTTGGACACACAGATTTACGTGGTTCGGCACTTGATTGCCTACGTCCACGGGCAAGGATAGAAGAATTCACTATGAGGAAAAAACTCTGGAGTTACAAACTCTCTCTTTACAAGGAGAAACTCTCTCTATTTTTTTCTCTCTCACTCTTCTTATATAAGAAGTTGTTTCTGGGATGAAATTTCCTTAAGGATTTGGAGCCCTATTTATAGTTTTTAGAAAAACACTATGCATAATAAAATATTAATATTTTACTGTAGCTGTGGGGTCCGCTCTTTTGTTTTCTTCTCAAATTTTCAACATATGTGGCTGTGCACTTTCGGTGGGTTTGGAATATTAGGCACCTGACAGTAACTAGACTATACCCTCCAATCTACTCCCGAGATACTACACCTAAAGATTATGGACTAGTCATTCAGGAGCCATCAATTTTGATGTCAATTCAAAATGTAAAGACCCATACTTTTGTGCGTAGTAATATAGAAATAACTTTGGAGGGTATAGTTTAGTTAGAATTATCCAAGCAAAAAAGCTTACTCTTCTAGCAGAGTTTGGGGTGTTCTTGCTGTTCATGGTGGCTTCAACTTTAATGGTGTTAAATAAGAGGAGTATTTCCTTATTCTATTATAAATCTACCAAATACTTTAATACCCATGTCCCGCAAACACTTCACCTTGCTAACTATCTAAATATAAATACAGGATTTATCACGCATAATGCATGACTTCTGGAACTTAGTACTATAAATTAACGAGAGTGCACTCAACCATAACATGCATATTTTGTGACAAAAACAATAAATCTATACCTCATTTATATATATCACACAACGCACGCATACAACAACTTAGTAGTGAGAGAGAGAGAGAGAGAGAGTATGGCAGATCTTAACAAGCAGTCATTCTCGATATTTTCTCTCATCCTAGTGATGATTAGTATTGGTGCTTTCGCTCGAGCGGAGCAATGTGAGGATCAAATTGAGGACCTGGTGAGCAAATGCGGTCAGTATGTGCAATGGATTGCATCAAGGCCGGAGGATGCTTCAAGAGATTGTTGTGCTGTGGTGAAGAGAGCGGATGTGAAGTGCGTATGTGATCATGTCACGGAGGAAGTTGAGATGGCTATTGATATGGATAAAGCGGTGGCTGTTGCTGCTAAGTGTGGGAGGCCAATTCCTCCGGGAACACAATGTGGAGGTAATAAATAGTTGCGTTTCTTGGATTCTCTCCCTTGCTGCTGCCCAATCAATAAATAGATGTCGCTCAATTGTGAAAGAACCCCCTCCTCCAAGTGAACTTTTTTATTCTTTTCCTCCGTATTGCTGCCCAATCAATAAATAGATGTCGCTCAATTGTGAAAGAACCCCCTCCTCCAAGTGAACTTTTTTATTCTTTTCCTATTAGGAACTATATTTGTCAAAAACATCGTTTTCTCTTTATCTAAAGATAAAAGAGAAAAAAAATTTCACTCAAAAGGGTTATCTATAACAATAGAACTACAAGAGATCTATTTGCATTGGGTAATAGTATAGGGTGTCCCTTCGCAATTAAACATTTTTTTTATTTTTTCTACTATTTTTAACTCACTGGAAACCATATAATAATATTCTTGTCTATCGTTTAATTATGACAATCACTCGATTCCCTTATGAGTTTAAAAAACCAATGAAAAAAACATGTCATCATATTAACAAAGGGTGCGTATACTAGAGGAATCCTGTTGGGGAATTTTAGTCTCCCCGCCTACCACGATATGCGCAACTCGGAAGCCAATCTCAATCAATAAGATAGAACAACCACAATAAAAAAAAAAGAACACTAAGATTTGCGTGGTTCGGTCGACCAACTTCGACCTACGTCCACGGGACAACAATACGAGAAATTTACTATGTATCAGAGAGAACTACAAGAGGAACCACTCAACTCTCGTCTCTCAATCTCTCAATCTCACATACATAATCAACTCTCATATTCTCTCCAAAGTATACTCCTTGTAATCTTTTGCACGGATAAAGACTACGAAACCCTCTCTCTCTCTCATCTACTAAATCTTTACTTTTTCTTCATGGTTTTTCCTCCACCAATAGAAGAATATATATAGGGAAACCAAAACCCTATCTGTAGCCTAACTTCCTAATTAGAATAGGATTCAAACTCCTAATCATGATAAAACCCAAACTCCTAATCATGATAGAACTCAAACTCCTAATCATGATAGAACCCAAACTCCTAATCATGATAGAACTCTAACCCTATCTAATTCTCATGAAGTTACACAAAGAATCAAAGACAAAATCCCAACAATCTCCACCTTGGATTTGATTCCCAAACTGCCTTGAAGATATATCATCGTCGTCTTGAAACTTTGTCTCTCCCGCTAGAGTCTTCTATTTCTTTCGCACTTCAAATCAGAACACCTGCACTCCCAATTGGATGCCTTCATGATCCTCACTATCTTCTGCTTCGTCGTGATGCCTCCACCTTTCTTGTTGTCCTTGTGCTCCACCTGCATCGCTCGTCTCAAATCATATCGGTGCACCTCTCCTACTCTACACTACGAGTTGGATGCATTTATCTCCTCCATCACTTGGCTTGGACTGAATATGAGTGCTCACCATCTTCAAGTCCAACGCCACCATCTTCATCTCCATGTGTGTCACTCAGTCGTGCTCGCTTACAAGCTCCACCTAATCTGGTACTGTCCTCCTCAAGTATAAACACCAACCAACTCCTGCTCCTTATCTACCATCAGATTTGTCTTGCCGTTAAATAGCGGAATATCAAACTTCGGACCTGAAGAAGTCATCATCCTCTAACTTCGGACCTGTAGTGATTGAATTTGATAAAACTGATGCCAAAAATGAATTCAGCACATCGAAAAACCCTAGGAACGACTCCTGGATCACTAAAATCCGCCTCCAAATCCTCAATCGGCTAACAAATCAATCTGGACCGTCGGATCCCCACGCGAACAATGCCCGCCACGCTACAATGTTCTGCTATAGACTATAGTAACCTTTCCCCTCCCCCCCTTCCTTTTTTTTCATCTTGATTCTTGTAACGCTGATTTTCAATCTTACACGACGTCGTCTTCTATCTTGCAAACTCGCTCCCGGATCCATCACCATCGCTCTAATACCACTTGTTAGGGAATTTCAGTCTTCTCGCCTACAACGATATGCGCAACTCGAAAGCCAACCTCAATCAATAAGATAGAACAATCACAATCAAGAAAAAAGAACATCGAGATTTACGTGGTTCAGTCGATCAACTTCGACCTACATCCACGGGGCAACAATACAAGAAATTCACTATGTATCAGGGAGAAGTACAAGAGGAACCACTCAACTCTTGTCTCTCAATCTCTCAACCTCACATACATAATCAACTCTCATATTCTCTCCAAAGCCCACTCATTGTAATCTTTTGCACGGATAAAGACTACGAAACCCTCTCTCTCTCTCATCTACTACATCTCTACTTTTCTTCATGGTTTTTCCTCCACCAATAGAAGAATATATATAGGGAAACCAAAACCCTATCTCTAGCTTAACTTCCTAATTAGAATAGGATTCAAACTCCTAATCATGATAGAACTCAAACTCCTAATCATGATAGAACTCTAACCCTATCTAATTCTCATGATGTTACACAAAGAATCAAAGACAAAATCCCAACAATCCTTCATAGAAAATCATACGCGGAGGATCAAAATTTGACACTTGTCAATTAGCACGAATCTTATGTATAATTATAGACGGTTAATAAATATCCAATTTTATTCTTGTTGTTTTTAAGGTAATAAAAAAGTAGATGGTGAAAGGATTCAAATTGCTTTATTTATTTATTTTTTGAAAGATTATATTTTTGACAGTTTGTGCATGTCATTCATAGGATTGTTTTGGTTTCTTTTTTCAGCTTTTTTTTTCTGGCATATAAGTTTGATCTTTTTCAGGGAGTTTCTGACTTACGTTGGTTTTGTTTTGCAGCTTATCGTGTTCCTCATGAATGAGCTCCAAAGAGGAAGACACTGAAATGGATAGTATTAGCATTATATTAATTCGTACCAAATGGTATCAAAAGTCTTAGGTGAGAAATTGTATCCGAACATATATAGTATTGAAATTGGTATCTCTATTATCTCTTACGATTGTGAGAAGAAAGTTGGGATGGAACAAAAACTATGTTACAATGAGTTCTCCAATATTTTCTTAGTCTTTCATCAGACTTTTTGTTGCTGTTTCCAAACTCCCCTGTGATGTGTGTTGTTTCCATTTGATGGTTTTGTTTGGTTTTCTCTAGCTGTTGGAATTGTTGGTTTAGTGTGGTAGGTGACGACAATGGTCCGCTCCCTACCCACTCCTCCTACGGTTCTTTATATAACTAGAGATTATGTAAATTCTTACCTTTTATACTCTTTTAATATATATTTAAATGAACAGGGCATCTCACCCTGTTTTTCAGGTTAAAAAAAATGAGTTCTCCAATATGAAAATGTTGGTAAAATGGAAAAGAAAGTATGCCCAAGTGTTAACTTCAAGATTTTCCTGAAACTCCCAGTATGTTGAAAATGATTACTAAATAGCATAAATTAAACTTTTATTTCTTATATATGCTACTTTCTTTAGTTTTTCACCTTTCCTATTTCCTATTTTAACAAATTACATCAATGACGTGATGAATGTTGGAAGCTTTGTTCATGAAAAGGCAATTTTGCCTTTGTGAATAGTCCCACATCGGAAAATGAGATGAATAGTAAATGGTATATAATGGTTCTCTCTTTATTGGGCTTTGAATAATGTTTTGGGTTTTGTGGGCCTTGCGGTTCTACCACACACACGCGCGCGCACGCCTCGCCCGCACGCCGCAGCCGCACTCGCACACTTTTTGCTTCTCAAGCCTTCTTTTTTGCACGTTTTACACATTTTGTAACGGCTGCATGCGGGTAACGGAATGCTTCTCAAGCCTTCTTTTTTGCACGTTTTACACATTTTGTAACGGCTGCATGCGGGTAACGGAAGCAATAACAGGGCGTAACGGTTCCTTGGATTCAGCGGGAGTTACACCTTTCATCACCTATAAAAGGAGGCTTGGAGCTCATTCAGAAACACAACAACGAAGAGGAAAAATCTCTACTCTCTCTTCTCTTCTCTACTCTTATACCTCCAAGAAAAGATTTCGGCTACATTTACGTATTCTATTTTCTGGGCAACTGTTTTCGTCTGAGCATAAGCTCTGTGTCTCACGCCCGAGTGCAGAGGCCGACCGATTCCGGGGGTTTTTACCGCTAGGGGAGAGAGGACAAATTGCGCCAGGGCGATAGGCGGGTCCTTAATCTTCTAGGGCAGTGATATAACGACTGCTCCCAATCAGGCCTGAATTTTCTAACTCCTTAATTTGTTTATACTATTATATTCTTGTTTTGACAGCAAATATAACAATCTAGACATGAATAATTGAGCTAGAAATTCATATTAAAGTTACCGCTTATCGTCGATAATAATGGAAGTCTTCTCCTCTCTTCTCCCGTAGCCAACGATGAGAATTAGGTCTCTTTTTCTGCGTACGGTTGAGAGGAGGGAAAAAGTAGAGAGAGGAGGGACTCCGTCCCTTTATATAGATATTTGTGATTTACCCTATCCATCATGATTTAATCACAACCGTGGGATTATACTCCGATCGATCATGTTTTATCATGAACCCAAATATTTAGCCCACCTGAATTAAGTATATAATTAGGGTAAATCAATTATCTTTATGTGCATACAATAATCTTTATGAATTGTCTAAAATTATGTATTAAAACTTTATAAAATGAAAATAAAAACTATATAGTTGAAAAGTACACAGAATGATCTTTCCAACGACTATTTATGGGCTCAAATCGGACTTAAAACGGATCTGGAACACGGTATTATTCATGAGGTTACTGCTCCTTACACACCACAGTCTAATGGGGTAGCTGAACGAAAGAATAGAACCATAATGGACATGGTGAACTGTATGTTACTCAGTTCAGGAGCACCTAAAAATCTCTGGGGTGAAGCTCTTCTAAAGTACACAGAATGATCTTTCCAACGACTATTTATGGGCTCAAATCGGACTTAAAACGGATCTGTAGCAACCAAAACAAAATGAGTGGTCAAATCTATAATGGGTCGGGTCTGGAAATTAATTTGTTTGACCCATTTCATAATGGGTTGAGTTAGAAATTTAATGGATCTAATCCATTACTATAGCGGGTCAGGTCCATTGCATACTGGATCGGGTCTTCCTTAATGGGTTATCGAGTTATATAACTCAAATAATAAATGATAGTTAATTGTACTAATTAATCTAATTATTTACTTAATTAAATTAACTAACTAATTAACTAAAACCATAACCCTAAACCCACCCGACCTAAGAGGCATTACTACCGCTGCCATCACCCAAACCCCTACCAACCCAGCCCGCTGTC